TGAAAGGACTTATAGTTTTGAAATAACGGGTATAAATCTGTTATTTTATGTACAAACTTTCGAACATTTCTGACCCTCCACTAGTTGAAATCGTTAGTGGGCGGCGGAGAGTGATTTTTTGCACTTCCTATATAACCTTCGAATCTTAAAGGGAGAAAGGGTTACCCAAATGTTGAGTTTACATAAATCCCCAGTTCACTGAGTTTCGTCCCAGGTGTATCTGTCATTGGTAAAATTACCAAAACACTATGTAGCCTATACTATAATGCAATTGTTTGCTTACCAGACCTCTGTATCCGGCTTCTTAACTCTGCTTGTCCACTGAAATGACGGTAGCTAAGTTGCATTGTGGGTAAATTAGTCTCCATGTTGTTGACAAGGACAAAAATACATTAATTTAATGTTATTCCAGCTCCATTTTATAATTAACCATTGTGTGAATTATATGGATAGCTTCACCTCCTTTATTCCTCTCAATCTCTATCATACAAACACACGGCATGATAAAAGTAATTTGAAACACAGACGCTGGCCGAGGGCTGCATGAATAATGCAGAAGACCCACACACTCATAAACTTTATACCTCCTATTGCTCACACACACAAACACATCTTCAATCGCTAACCCACTCCTCACATATCTCATTAACTCCTGCTGTTCAACTGCAGCCACCTGATGAGATTCCTGCCTCATATAATAAACACACACTGGCTTATATATAATGTAGATTATTTGAAAAGCACTTTCTCACGAGGTGAGTGTGGTGGTACAGATGGTGGTGGGGACGGGCGTTCAGCTTCTTTTAAAGTGGTTTATAAGTGGTGTTTTGCATGATTCAACAGCACGAGGAAAGCAAAAGGAGAATGGTTGTTGATGTACCGAGACATTTAGCATGAAATATAATATTACACAATGTAGTAATAAGTAATAAGAAATCAGAATGTGATCATTAAAGTATCTAATGTTAAAAGTAGATTGTCTGTGATCTAGGTTTAAAAAAACGTGTCCAAATGAACTGTGGAACCAAGAGTGTCATGGTTGAACGAAAGGCAACATTTAGTGGATTCAGGTAAACTGTCCTTCATCTTTCGAAAGTTAATGGAGTACGAAGTTATGATATGAAAGAAAACTAGAAAACAAAGTCAAGTTTCAGTTGAAGTAGTGAAAACATGACCATGGACACCTGTAAAGAAACGTGACCATGGCACCTGTAAAGAAACGTGACCATGGCACCTGTAGGAAACATGACCATGGACACCTGTAAAGAAACATGACCATGGACACCTGTAAAGAAACATGACCATGGACACCTGTAAAGAAACATGACCATGGACACCTGTAAAGAAACGTGACCATGGCACCTGTAAAGAAACGTGACCATGGACACCTGTAAAGAAACATGACCATGGACTCCTGTAAAGAAACATGACCATGGACACCTGTA